AAGGGGTGTAAGAACGGTGTAACGAAAACTTTGCAGGAGTGATCAGCAGACTATGAAACTGATCAATTTTCCCCAAATGAAAAAGAAACGGCCTCCCATACAGAATTCACGATCAGCTGACTGACTATGTATACATGTATTCTTGGGAAGTCAAATATTTTTATATATTTTTTCGTTTACCTCCATGTTCCATGGCAGTTGTTGTTCAGTTTCATGGTCTGAGCACATCTGCAAAGTTTTCATTACACTCCCTTACACCCGGTATAAACCATGTAATTTCTAGTCCGACAGAAACGCAAAAAAAATGATCTTCATGTTAGTTCATTGATTTTACAAGACGACCAACCTCTAACCGACCATTTGCATGTGCGATTACGCTCACGTGTTTATACAGGGTGTTATTTTGCGTGCCATAGCTTGATATCGATAAAGGAACCTTTAAAAGGTAGTTTTAAGGAAGCCGAATAACACTTTAAAATTAAAAAAAAAATCAAATTCCTATTCTTAACCGACCGCCGCGAGTAGACTCATCGCGCAATGGCGTAGGTACCTACTCATGCTTCGTCAACCGCGTGCGCGAACGAATCAACCGGTGTCAGCCAACCGGTTTTCTAAAATGTTTTTTTACTAGGCTTTTTCATATCTTTTAGGGCTTCTTTTGTTGCTACCCAACCTGCTCTTTAGCTGTGCTGTGATACGCATTTAAATTAACACCCTGTACATTAATATATGAATCCGTTATGTCTCCTACCAAAGACTGCATTCAAAGTGTTATGAAACGCAAATATTTTATCAATCAATTTTAAAATGTAATCTATGTAAAATCATGTTTTCTAAATATATTTTCTCAAAAAGGTATAAAAGTATTTCGTGTTTAATTGATGTTAGTATAGTAAGATTAATAAATTATTAAAGGGCTCGATATTATTTTAAGAAATTAATTAGTGGGGTTCTTCAGACGTAAAAAAGGTATTCACCCAGATTGACACTTTGGCAAAATGCCCCTTTCGCACAATGTCGTTTTTGTTTGGAATGACATGCGCAGAAGTCACGCCTTTCGATTGGATCAACTATAGTCCGTCCAGTTCGTGCACGACCCTCCCTAGGGGTGACAGACGTTGGGGAGGGAGATGTCAGCGGGTAGCGGGAGGTGTTGCGGGGAAGGGTGACGCGCGCATCCGCGGTGCACGTCATATTAAAATGACGTGCTTTTTCGCCCCCCGACCGTCTGTACCCCGCAGGAAGGTCGTGCACGAAGTTGACGGACTATAAGTTGTTTGTTATTTGTTGTGTGGCCATAATTATTAATAAATAAACTTGTCATATCACTATAATTTCGAGCTCTTGTAATATGCTGATGTTGTTTTGTACACTGATGCCATTAATATGGGTATAGTTATAGATTTGATTTTAGGTGTTACAATGGCCACTTATAAAAGCCCATTTTGACAGCTAACAAATCCATACTAGAAAACATGCCAGGAAATGTTACAGAATGAAAAATTAAAAGTCCGTCGTAATAGCCGTAGTGTCGTTTTTGAGAATTACATAATTTTAAAATAAATTACCTATACTATAATTTAATTGCAGCACTAATATTGACAGATCAAAGTTCAAATGTAGATTCGGTCTACATTGCTACGAGTGTCAATCATTACAAGAAAATCAAGTCATCCAGCAGTGTATGCCGAATCGAAATTTGTTCGCCAGGTAGCAGGTAGTGTTGCAATGACTCACGACTAGTGATGTAAATATTTCGATTGATGATATGATAATGAAAAGTATCATATTTTTTGTGGTTCATTCTGTAACATGTTGTATATAGCATTTAGCATGTTTTCAGTAGCGAAATTGGCTTTTTAATGTGGCCCGGGATTAATTATTTTCGTCCGACTCACGAGACTGTTTGTCTAACGTTACTTAAAAGGTTAATAAAGTTTGTCACTTTGGAAGAAATAGCTTTTATTTAAACTTAAGTTTGTTTTGTGAATACTGAAACTGTTTTTGTGCTCGGTTGTACAAAATGGATGCTAAAACTTCGGTCTTTATTTTATGTATGACTCAAGCCGTGATTCCTGTGATTTTAAATCCATAGACAAAACATCGATATACATTGCGGCGTCATTATGCAATGTATATCGTGCTTACAAATATCGTGGTTTTGTGAACCGGTGTGTGAAAGCTTCAGATAAAAACGACGCGCTATTGTAAAGGTCTGTTCAAATCTACCCGACTGGTACGTGGGTAGCGGAACTCAATCCCTTGACCATTTCTAACAATCAGGATACAGCTACCCACGTACCTACAGTCGGGGTGAAAAGAGCATATCTAGGACTACCTCAAATATCTCTATTGCTTTAGCAAATTATTTCATATGTTATACTGGGTGTTACAAAACAACCAAAAAAGCTGAAAGGAGGTCAAGGTACTCATAAAACTGAACAACTTTTCCCATGGAACGTGGGTCGAAATATGAAAAGAAACTGCCTCCCATACAAAATGAACTCAATTTGTATGGGAGCTTTATTGGTTGTTTTATAACACGTTGTATATACATACAGCTGGTTTAACTCTATTTATGAAAGTAAAACTCATTATTGCGTAAATTGGGAGAATATTTCGAACCATTTGAGGCGGTCCTAGCCTACCTAAGTTCGCCGCTAAGATTTGAATATGGCCTAAGTCCAAAGTACCTTATCAATACTGAGCTGGATTGTATTCCTAAATAATTTCTATGTATAAGGTTACATTTAATTACATACAAATATTTATAGGGCATGCTGTACTCACAAAACTGAACAAGAACTTCGAAATACGAGAAAAAAAATGCATCTCCCATACCAAGTGACACATTTTTTCTGCATGGATTATTTTTGAAATTTTTCGTAGAAAAGTTTCTAATAAAAGTTGTTCAGTTTTGTCAGTAGAACACGCCCTTAAAATATTTGTACTTAATTAAGTCTAACCCTATAGAGGGTGTTAATTTAAATGCGTGCCATAGCTTCAGAGTAGGTTTAGTATCGATAAAGGATGCCGTAAAAAATATTGAAAAAAATCCCAGTCACAAATTTTTTCTTTTTACTTGGCTGACATTTGATTCAAATGCCTATATCTCAGTCGAAATTCGTTCAATCTCAAAGTTGTTAAGACGAAAGTACTTGTATGGGCACTCTCTAAACAACAACAGAGTCAAAAATAGTTTTTTCCAAAAATAAAGTTTTGACTAAATCGAAAAGAAAAATATTTTTGTTCACTGGGTTTTTTTTTTTATATTTTTTACGGCATCCTTAATCGATACTTAACCTACCCTGAAGCTATGGCACGCATTTAAATTAACACCCTGTATACATCGACGTGAGTGACCGAAGTATTTAATTTCAGATTTGTCCTAAAACTTGAGTTGCAATGTTACCTTAAAGTCTTCCGTACGGTTACGGTGTATTATTAATTTATATTATAATATTATTGCTGTAAAAAATGTGGTCTTTTTATTGTACCTAAAAATAGCTTGATTCGCTCCTACCATACAACCCTTGTAATTATAAGAACCTTTGTTCACTATCAATACATAGTGTTAAATAGTCGTATATTGCACTTCTCTTGTCTATCTGTCGGTCATGAACACCGCTAACTCTTATATTTGAATAGATAGAATCAGTCATGAAATAATGATTTCCGAGCAAATGATTTATAATCAAAACAAGGCTTACAGAAGTAAACTTAAAGTTCTTAAGCATTTATTTGCATTTTTTAAATCTGTACAATCCAAAATATTCAAATCAAAGTAATCTACAACTAAATTCACACTTTTTAGATCCTTTTATAAAACATAAAAATAAATCTAATCTCGATCGATGCATAAATTCTCAATCACTGTACTACCTGATTCACAGAAGAAAGGTAATATAAATGGCAGCCGGAGGTCATGGTCATGCTTTCTCACTCGCACTAAGGCTCTTACATACACCAGGCGTTCATGCTGTCTCCCTCCCACTTATGGAACCGCCGCCATTGATAATCCCTTACTTCTGTGAATCAGGTAGAATGAAATCCACATCACACTTTTTATCACAACGATATTTGTTGATCCTTCAAATCAACGAAACTTTATTGCGGACAGCGAACCAAAAGGTACATTGTCGGGTCGTTGGAAGACTCGACGTCCCACGAGAAAAAGAAGGGTACGTTCTACTCATAAAACCGAACAATTTGCACAGTGATAAATTATTCTCATAAATGAAAATAAACGTACAAGATAAGAACCAGAAAATTGAAAAATTTGTTAGCGCCGGCCGCTGGGACAACTAAGTACCATTACTAGTCTAAGCGGGTACGGTCAAATATCACCCGAAAGCTGTTTTGCCGGCACAGTTGATGCCGCTTTGCTCAGTGATACTAGGGACCATTATGAATGATTCCATCCGAGGAAATGAAAAATCCATCCACTGGATTTCAAGATGGCGGACCTTCGTTTTTTTGTATGGCACTAAAAAAATAATTCTTCTGGAACCCATCGTATGGGGTATCAAATGAAAGGGCTTGACGAGACGATTTCAGAAATATATCGTTTTATTACATTTCAGTTGCCCTCTTAGAAAAAAATCAAGTTAAATTTTTAAAAGTGGTCAAAACATGCCAAGTTTGAGGTCCAGTAGGTACAAAATGGCTGACATATAGTTTCTTAAAAGTATGCCAAATGATCCACCATATCCTGAACTCTAACGTGACGAAAGGAATTTCGAAAAGAATAAGATTTAATGTATATTTTGCAATGGAAAGTAGATCATTGGGAACTGCAGTAGGTCAGTAAGAAATGCTTGTGCGCCTCCATAAATGTTTAAGATGCAATTCTTCTCATGATTGCTTTTACACTTTAAGCTAGATTATGATGTGCCGGATCATTTTGAATGTTCGGGCACGTGACTATACTATTAAGTTGTAAATAACAACTTTCTACTAGTCATCATCAAGAGATTGATAAATTTGTTAGGATCGGCCAGGCGCCGGTAGCTCCGTTGGAAGAGCAGTGGGACGGTACCCCACGGTCTCGGGTTCAAGTCTCGGCCGACGCTAAAAAAAAACAATGTTCTTGAAAACTTAAAAACTTTACATATCATCTTTTTTTCAAATATTAAAGAGATTTCGGGCCTACCATGCAAAATTGTTGAAAAAGTGTGTAACTCTGTATGGAGTGTCCAAATTCTTTTCTTAAATTTTGAAAAAAAAAGTTTCTAAGAATATTCAGTTTTGTGAGTAGAACACACGCAAAAATTTTTTGTACTTTATTAAATGCGACTTCATATAAACACGGGCCTTCCAATCGATATCTTTTAATTAGAATTTTGTTTCCGTCATATTCGTAAGTACATTAAATTTTCGTATGAAAAACGAATCACCATATAAAGTCCAATCAGGCCTTTTCTTACAGATTAAAAAGTTTGTTTTTTTTACGTCAATAGATGGCGCTAAAATGTCAGTCACGCGAGGTCGATAGCATTATTTGTGTTCTGGTAGTTATACAGTCTACGATGTTTTAAAAATCATTTGTCAACTGCCAAAACGTAATTTCTTATGCGTTTACTTTCTTTCTCTTTGAGTCTCATGCATGAAATAAATATAGTCCCTTTTGCCTTTCGTTGACGATCAGCGCCATCTATCCATAATTTTACTAACTACTATACAAGGTGTTCCAATGTAAATACATTAAATTGGAGACGTTGTGCAGGCCATCGAACCGAACAATTTTCATTATGGGGCCAAGTTATGAAAACTCCTCGTTTAGAAGTAATCAGCAACTTAAATTTGTTAAATTTAATTGAGTGCCACATTATGAAAGGAGCTTTATTGATTATGACCTTTATTTATGTCATGCTGCCGTCTTGAAAAAACTTTTGAAATTACCGCCACAACTGTTACCAAGGCAACGGTTTTGGCGGTAGTTTAGTTGCCAAGGCAACGGTTGTAGCGTAGACCAAGGTCAAATGTCATGTTCGTCAAAAACTGACACAACTGACACTACAGACTCTACTGGGTTCTCTGATTGGCCCTTTGTTTTTGCGTCTCTATGGGTGCTCTAAGTCAAAAGAAGTTTTTAGTTTGAGGCGGCAATAAAATAAAGTTGACACCAAGAAAGAGATCTTTTATCTTAAGTTTTCGTTTAAATTTAAGACATAGACAAGTATGTTCCAAACTTTTTCAAAGATTCAAATCCAACAAGTTAAAATTGCAAGGTTGCAATCTTGGATAAGGGGTAATACATAATGGTTGTAGTAAATGTAGGCATTTACTTTGTATGAAAATTTTAACTTCTTAATTGTTAAGAATTCAAACTTGGTGCCATAATGGAAATTGTTCAGTACAATGGTCTACACAACGTCTCCAATTTAATGTATTTCCTTTGGAACACCTTGTAGTATTTAAAATACAGCTTGAGTTCTGTCAGTCAGATCCATACTAAAACTTATGTAAACAAAGGAAACTGGACTCTTTGTCATAGCATTTTCCCGAATCTGTCTGTCTCCACGTCACCACAGGTATCAAGCAAGATTTTACAGAGTATAAGTGTCTCGACTCGACACACTACGATCGAAATTACTGCGGCGCAATTACGCCAGCAATGGTACTTGCATTACGGATGACACACTTCAGCCGAAATTTCTTCGCCGAATTTCAGTCCGAAGTAATTTGTCGTGATTTGGAAGTAATTTCAGCGCTTATAGTGCGTCCTCCCAACCCAAAACGCCGAAAACTGACAGAACGGAATTCAGCCGCCGAATTTCGGTAGTAGTGTCTTGTCTACAGACTAAGTTGCTACTGTTATTGTTAATACCAACGAAACAAGTGGAAAAAAATTCACGTCACCGATGGGATTCGAACCCACATCTTCTGACAAGCCGGGTCAAACGTGTTAACAATAATATCAATATCTAGTGTTTGATTAAAACACCAAGTACTTATTCGAAATTACTATCTTGTGGAAAGAGCAACCGACATAGCTGGCATAACTACCGAGTAAAAAAATAAAAATACTCAATCTGGCGGCCAGAGTTGAAACATGTTGCAATCGATTAAGCATAAAAATGCAAAGCAAAAGCATATTTTGATAAAAAGTCGTAAAAGTTGTTTTTTCGGAGATATATGAAAGCATAAAGCAAAGCATACTTAAGAAAGAAAAAATGACTTTTAAATCCATATATCTCCGAAAATACAACTATTACGACTTTTTATCAAAGTACACTTTTGCTTTGTATTTTTATGCTTAATCGATTGCAACATGTTTCAACTCTGGCCGCCAGATTGAGTTTTTTTATTTTTTTTTACTCGGTAGTTATGCCGGGCTCCATACTAAAATGTCGGATACCTTTTATACAAAATAGTTAACATTCACTGAGTAGGTACTACTTTTTACAAGCTGTCAGAAAAGGCCGTGATAAAGTAGCGGTGTGGAGCGGTCACTCGTCGGCCGGATGCAACGCCAGCAGGCAGGCCGCGCCGAACGGGGGCTTGTAGTGGATGCGCAGCTCCTGAAATGATAAACATACATACATACATACATCACGCCTTTACTCCTTGCGGGGTAAGCAGAGCGACAACGGCCGTAAAAGTATAGTAGTCGTTATCGCCACGTCTGACACATATTTGAGGGCCGTTTTAGCTATTGTCGTGTATCGCTATAGTGACAGGTTGTCAGCCTGTCGCCTAAAATTGCAATACACATGATACCCTCGATTCCTTTAGTCGCTTCTTACGACACCCACAGGAAAGAAATGGGGTGATGTTATTCTAAGCCGGCATCACACGGTCGTAAATAATAAACATACATACATACAGGGTAGGCAGAGATTCAGCGGCCGTAAAACCTGTCGCCTAAAATTGCAATACACATGATACCCTCGATTCCTTTAGTCGCTTCTTACGACACCCACAGGAAAGAAATGGGGTGATGTTATTCTAAGCCGGCATCACACGGTCGTAAATAATAAACATACATACATACAGGGTAGGCAGAGATTCAGCGGCCGTAAAACCTGATTCATATAATAGAAGAAAGGGACCCGAAATGTCAACATTATTGTTTGCGTATTTTAACCCGACTGCCTCACAAGGAGGGTTATGTTTTTCGAGAGTATGTATGTATGTTACAGGCAAAACCCTTAACCAGTCAATAGCGTTAATGACTGACAAAACCAGTCAATAATGTTATTGCCTAAGGGACTCAGTCAAAACCCTTATTGACTGATTTTATCTATTAAAATCAGTCAATAACGATATAGACGGACGTGCCCAGTCAAAACCCTTAATAGTTACGTCCGCCCTGGCGGCAGCAACCTAGACCTGGCTGGCAGGTCTGAGTCTACTGTCTCGCTTGCCGGTTGTCAGCAGCTGTACGTGGCTTCACCTCCCAGATGTCATGACCTCACGGCGGTGGCTAATAAGCTCTGGCCCACTGCAGTCGGCAAGTGAGGCAGTAGGCTTTCCATCATAGGCGACCACTTAACGATACTGATTGTTATCTTAGACCAGTCAGCCAGGACAGATCTCCCGGTGGGTAAGCAAAAGAGTAGACTTTCACTCTGACTGCCTCCTTTCTTTCTTTCTTTTTCGTGTGGGACACCGAGTCGTTCAACGACCCGATGAACCCTGGTGTCAGAGTTTTTCAACCGCCTACTGCAAGTAGCAGGCCTCTGACATGGTTGTGTAACGACCGCCATCATAGACAGCAACCGGGACCGACGGCTTAACGTGCCCATCCGAAGCACGGAACCATCTTACTCGCGGACAATCAGGTGGTTCAGCCTGCAATGTCCTAACCAGACTGGGAACAAATTCACAAAGTGATAAATATCAACTTTGTGAGTGACCCCACCGGGAATTGAACCCGGAACCTTTGCGTGGCAGGCAGTCATACTAACCACTGCGCCACATCGGCTGTCATGCATGACTGCCTCCATCTTCTATATTTTATATAAGATGCATTTCGGTAAGTGTGCTTAATCGTAGTCTCGTCACTCAACACCAACTGCGACGCGTAGCATCAGCGAATGGACCTCTACGGCGTAGCATATGCTACTACACCCACTACGACGCATTGGATCAGGGAAAGGCCAAATGCGACAGCTCGCTCTACGACGAATATGCGAATGTTCCTCTACGACGTAGTAAATGCTACAACACCCACTACGACGCGTTTAATCAGCGAATAGTTCTCACAGCGTAGCAAATGCTACAAGTCTCTCTACGACGCGTAGTATAAGCGAATGGCCATCACGGCGTAGCCAATGCTACAACTCCCGCTACGACGCGTAGGATCAGAAAATGGTCCTCTACGAATGTAGCAAATGCTACAACTCCCACTACGACGCGTAGTATCCTCACGCTACGTGGTTAACTAACCCCCTACGAAGGAGGAACCACACATGTTTCATCTACGACGTAGCACATGCTACACCATTTTCTATTTTCCCGCTACAATGGACGAATAACTAACCAACTTAACTTAACTTAACCACCGGGAGGTCGGTCTTGGTTGGCCACAAGAAAGCTTACAGCCAGCACTGGGCGGGAGCCCATTAGCCACCGTCGTGAGGTCTATGACATCTGGGAGGTGAAGCCACGTATCTGCTGAGGTCAGCATTAGTGAAGAGCCGTCTGCGACTTGGGCATGTCCTCATGGAATGACAACTGGCGAGCGAGACAGTAGACTTCCACTCTGGCTGCGACCATCTAACGGACCTGATGGTGATCTTAGACCTGCCAGCTAGGTCTAGGTTGCTGCCGCTAGGGCTGACGTACCTATTAAGGGTTTTGACTGGGCACGTCAGTCGATATCGTTATTGACTAGTCAATAAGGGTTTTGACTAGTCAGTAAGGGTTTTGACTGATGCTCTTTTTTTTTCTGACTACCTATTGTAAATTAGCAAATGGGGAAAATCCTCAAAGGACACCTGGGAAGATGGCCCAGGTAGTGCCGGACTTTTACCGGCTAAAAACCCCATTTGCTAATTTCCATCCTAGGCGTGAGGCCGAATATTTCTGTGACGAAGAGATCACTGATGCTCTTAGGCAATATCGT